CCTGAGGGCGGGACCCGAGGTGGACGTGTACGATGACGTCCACAGCGCCAGCCCTGCTGGGGAGAACAACCCCCTTTATGAGCGTCTGGATGACAGGGCAGAGCCAGAGCCGGAGCCAGACGCCGGTGCAGAGTCTGAGGAGGAAGAGGAGGTGGTGATGGAAGAGGGGGAGGATGATGGGGTCGAGGAGTGGCATGCTTCATGGGATGTGTGAAATTGTTGTACGGATTTTGCATGTTATCAGTGAATGTTTGCGCCGATTGTCTTGGAACCCTCATAATGCTAATGACTAGAAAAAAAGAATGTGGGTGGGGGGTGTACTCAAAAAAAAAAAAAAAAAATGGGGGGTGTTATAACTGGTGCATTTATGAGTACACCCACCGCAATTGAACACCCATGGGTGTTCTATTTTGAGGGGTGTACTCTGTGGGGGATTACGGTAATAGGAGGGCGGCTGACATCTTACACGATGGATTTCCTACCGTTTTCTTCAACAATTGTGACGCGCACGTGCTAGATATGCTTCATGACTTCGGGAAGATACATGCGGTGAAGCGGGTCCTAGGCCAGATGCACCGAATGGTCATGATGGTGAAGGGAAGTCCCTCCGCCGTCACTCTCTTCCTTGGTGCAGCCTGGTGCAACTCGCTTTGGCACAAACGTGATCATGCTCAGCCGCTTTGTTGAAGTAAAAAAGGCGCTGCGGTAGATGGTCATAAGTGAGGAACGGGAGGAGGTTGCGGTGGCAAAGCATAACAAGGGGAAGGCGGTCCGTAATCTTCTCTTGGACGAGGTGTTTTGGGACTGCGCGACGACGGTGCTCCGCATCATGGTGTACGAAGTCCTACGGGTCGTCGACACAAGGACTCTAGTCATGGGGCAAGTGTATGGCCTCATGCTACAGGCCACGGTCAAGACCAATGCGGCGGCCAACGCTGCAGGTGAGAAGGGACTTGCTTGCAACCGGGATCACGCTGGTATTCCCTTTCCCGCCCATACCCCGAGAGTGTTTACATTCTCGTTGTCCCACTTACTTACCTCTTGTTCGCTTGTTCTCCTCATGGGCAGCCGCACTTCTGGTCAAACGCACATCTCTGCTAGCGGCAAAGGACAAGCCATCCTTTATGGCGGTCATCAAGGCTATAATAGCCAAGAGGTGGGATGGCCAGTTGCATAACCCACTGCATGCTCTGGGTTGGCTACTCAACCCCCGCAATCAGTACGTGGGGGAGGTGAGGAACGACAAAGAGGTGAGACATGGGGCTGAAGAGGTCATCCAAGCACGTGGGGGGGATGTCGCTCAACACAAACTGCTCCAAGCACAGTTGGCCCAGTTCCACAAAGGCGAGGGGCGGTTGGGGTCCAATCACGCACGTTGGGCTGCAGCGGTTTTGGTGGAGGGGGGGCGCTTGACAGATGCGGAGTGGTGGTGGATGTACGTGGTGTTAGAAGCAAAGGATGGATGGATTAGGTCAAGGGGGGGGGTACAAGTAGAAGGTCGAGAGAAATGTTGTACCCCCTAAGGCTAAACCCACTACAGCCTAGAACAATATAAACATATAAGTTTTGACTCACCCCCATAGGCGAAGTGGGGGATAGCCAAAGCAAGCAATGGTCACAAGACCAGTCAAGAGAAGAAGCAAAGCAAAGCAAAGCTCAGGGTGGATCTCAATATCACCACACATTCCGAGCACAAGCCACAAGGCCAGTTCACATGCAGAGTTTAGAATAGCAAGAGCAGTACACTGATCACACGGCAAGTGTAAGCATGCAGGTATACTCATATATATCAGTGTACAACAAGGGCGAGGCAAGATCAAGAGACAAGCAGGTGAGGCAGAGTGGGCACAAGCCCAAGAGCAGTGCAGAAACGCTGATGATCACCAGACCCAAGGGCCTTGGTAAAGACATCAATGGTGTTGGCCTGTGAGGCCACGTAAGTAAGGAGAAGCTGACCAAGCTGCTGCAGCTCTCACGTGAGGGAGTAACGAAGAGCAATGTGCTTCGTTCTGTGCTCCAGTCTCTGGTCCTAACACAAGGCAATCATGGCCTTGTTGTCAACGTACAGAACTGGAGGAGAACGAGGCCGCTCACCCAAGTTGGTCAGCAGGTAGGTCAGCCAGCGGAGCTCCTGTGCAGCCATAGCCCCAGCGTAGATCTCGGCCTCACAGCTGGAACTATGTACAGAAGACGAGCGAGTAGAACTCCACGGGACAGAGCCAGTGCCGAGGCTGAAACTGTAACCCTGTGTCGACCGGTGAGTCGTCTGGTCGTCAACCCAAGAAGCGTCTGAGTGACCGGTGAGAACAACTGGACCCCGTCCCCAAGCACAAGCCCCATGCCTGATGTACTGCACAAGTAAGGAGGCTGAGAGGGTATGTGAGGTCAGGTCGTGTGCACGTCATCAAGTACATGAGGTAACCCACAAGATCTGGATACGGACCACTCGGCTCTACGGACGCGTCCGAAGGTGGAGCTGAGAGCGAGTGGCTTGCAGGCAGAGGAGTGGGCTGTGGCGAGGAGAACTGGAAGCCGAAGCGCTGAAGGACCTGGTGCACCATGTGTGACTGAGTCAGGGTGATGGTGCACCGTGCTCTGTCCCGGGTGATCTGCAAGCCAAGATAGCTCCGCAGCTCACCTAAGTCAGTGCAAGTGTGTCTCTCCTGCAGCTTCCCCTTCACTAGGGCCAGTGCCTCAGTGTCAGCAGTAGCAAAAACCAAGTCGTCGACGTACACGAGGACGTAGAACGGCGGCAGAGAAGTGTCTGTGCGCAGAAACAACGAAGGGTCAGCAGTCGAGGGAGCGAAGCCAAGAGCCGCAAGTGTAGTCCTCAGTGTGTCGTGCCACTCACGAGGCGCCTGACGCAGACCGTACACTGGCCGCCGGAGGCTCCACTGGGTACCCTCAGGAAACGTTTCTGTGCACCGACCCTACTCTGCCGCCGTTCTACATCCTCGTGTATGTCGACAACTTGGTCTTTGCTACTGCCGACACTGAGGCGCTGTCCCTTGTGAAGGCGGAGCTGCAGAACAGACACACGTGCACTGACCTGGGTGAGCCGCGCAGCTATCTCGGCTTGCAGATCACCCGGGACAGAGCACGGCGCACCATCACTGTGACTCAGTCACACATGGTGCATCAGGTCCTTCAGCGCTTCGGCTTCGAGTTCTCCTCGCCACAGTCCACTCCTCTGCCTACAGGCCACTCGCTCTCAGCTCCAACTTCGGACGAGTCCGTAGAACCGAGTGGTTAGTATCTAGAGCTATGTACATGATGACGTGCACTCGACCTGACCTCGCGTACCCTCTCAGCATCCTGGCGCGCTACGTTGCGCCAGGGAGACACCAACCAGAGCACTGGCGGGCTGCTAAGAGGGTGTTGCGTTACTTGTGCAGTACATCGGGCATGGGGCTCGTGCTTGGAGGACGGGGTTCAGTGGTACTCACAGGACACTCCGACACTTATTGGGCCGACGACCAGGCAACTCAGCGGTCGTCCCAGGGTTACTCTTTCAGTCTCGGCTCTGGTTCTGTCTCGTGGAGGTCCACTCGTTCGTCTTCTGTACTTGGTTCCAGCTGTGAGGCCGAGATCTACGCTAGGGCCATGGCTGCACAGGAGCTCCGCTGGCTGACCTACCTGCTGATTGACTTGGGTGAGCGGCCTCGTTCTCCTCCAGTTCTGTACGTCGACAACAAGGCCATGATTGCCTTATGTCAGGAGCAGAGACTGGAGCACAGAACGAAGCACATTGCTCTTCGTTACTTTCTTGCTCGGGAGTTGCAGCAGCGTGGTCAGCTGCGCCTTGCTTACTTGGCCTCTCGGGCCAACACTGCTGATGTCTTCACCAAGGCCCTTGGGTCTGGTGATCATCAGCGTCTCTGCACTGCTCTAGGCCTTGTGCCTGCTGGTTGCTTGACTTTGTCTTGTACTGTGATCTATATATATATATACATATATATATACCTGCATGATTGCTCTTGCTAGGTTGTGATCACTGTACTGCTTGTGCTTTTATAACTCTGCATGTGAACTGGCCTTGTGGCCGCTTGCTTGTGCTCAGACTGCGTGGTGATCTTGAGATCCACCCTGAGCTTTGCTTTGCTTTGCTTTGTTCTCTTGCTTGACTGGTCTTATGACCATCCGTTGTGTTTGCTATCCCCCACTTTGCCTATGGGGGTGTGTCAAATTGCATTTGTTTTGTCTAGGCTGTAGTGGGGCATACTCTAAGGAGTACAACACTTTAGGGTTAGGTAGTACTTGTACTCATCCTTGCTACCTAGTCCATCATTCCTACGTTCTATTTTTGACAAAATGTACACCACCTATACTAAACAATACAAACTATAACAGATATAGTTTGACACACCCCCATAGTCTAGGTGACAGTAGTCCTGTGGAAATCAACACACGTCTTAGGGCGGATCACAAAGCCACCACAAAGTCTGAGAGTAAGGGTCACAGTCAGGGCTTATCTTTTGGTTTTCAATACTTTGATTTTCAGGGTTGTTTTTTTGGGAACTCTGAAAATCAGGGTTGATCTTGTTGAACTGAGAAATGCCTTTTTGATCTTTTAGAGTTTAGTCTCAGTAATATATTGCAGAGGAAGACTGGAATTCCTGTACTGGTCAAGTGTAAGAACAAGAATTGATAATAAAGGAAAGATACAAGAGATTTATAGTATAGGAAAGTACCTATTCGGTGATGTGCCTGTTCATGAAGCGGGCTAGATATTGAATCGACTCTACGAAGAGGTATAATCCTGTGTCACGCGAACAGTCGCGAGACTGTTCGCACCAGGGCTGACGTTTCATATTAGGCCTCCCTGAATCCGGGCAAAATTTTCCCCTGTATTATGGGTGCACATTTTTCATAAGTTTGCTACTCTGATTGCTCAGTGTCCAACAACGTCTCACTCTGATTCGTCAGGGTTCATAGCTTGAAATCAAGGTTGCTTTTAAACTTGCACTATGTTACAACATGCTGGCAGTTTTCTACACTATCTAGTGCACGGGCTTGTCAATGTGGAATACCTCCTCCACATCCTCATCGTCCGAGAGGAAGGGGTTGTCGTCGTCCTCCTCCTCCTCCCCCACGAGCTCCTGATCATCGCCGAGGTCCTGTTCCACATCCTCCTCCTCCTCCTCCCCCTCCTCCTCCTCGTTCTGCCCGGCAGTTCATGCCTCGTCTTCGCCCTCCTTCGCTTTCCCCTTCCTGTCAAGCTCTGCCACAGCCAGCTTCGCGCTCTTCGCAGGGCGGCTCCTCCTCATGGACCTTCAGACCTCCAGTGCCTCCGGCCAGTCGATGTCATACTTCAGGATCGAGATCTGCATCAGCTCGCCCAGCCGCGCGTTGCATAGCGCGCCTCGCACCCACGACTTGATTACGTTTTGCCTGGAGAAACCCCTCTCGCACTCCACGGTGGACAGGGGGAGCACAGTGATCGCCTGCCACAGAAGGACGAGGTTGGGCCATCTCCTGCCAGGTACATTCACGCACCAGCACACAACATGAAGACACTTTAATGAGATGCACACTAACACAGGCTTCTCGCGCTGGCCCAAGCAAAGCGTTACCTCTTCGAGTCAGCGCTCCCGAGAATGTTGGTCATGTCAAATTTATATGCTGCTTATTGTGTAGGCTATAGTGGGGTAGCCCATATGGGGTACAACCCAATTAGGGTTTACTACTTGTACCCATCTTGCTGCTAGTTCATCCATTCTCGCTTACTGATTCTGACATGGTTTCAGAGCAGGTCCTGACCTAGGACCGTTTTTTTTAGGGCCCACCGAATCGTTTCCTGCCCGTAGCGCGTTACCCTGCTTGTAGCGCCCTACCGTGTCCGTCGCGCTGCCCCACCAGTCGAGTTACCCTGCCCGCGCGCCGCTGTGCTGGCTGCCGCGCTGCCTTGCCTTGCCCTGCGTTGCACTGCCTAGCGCGCGCTCTGCCCTGCCCTGCGTTGCGCCGCCCCGCGCACGCCCTGCCCTGCGTCGCGCTGCCCGCGTACGCCCTGCCCTGCCCCGCGTCGCGCCGCCCTGCGCACTCCCTGCCCCGCGTCGCGCTGACCCGTGCACGCCCTGCCCTGCTCCGCGTCGCGCTGCCCCGCGCACGCCCTGCCCTGCCCCCCATCGCGCCGCCCCTGCAGCCCGCGCGCCGCCCCTACAGCCCGCGCGTCGCCCTCCGCAGCCCGCGCGCCGCCCCTGCAGCCCGCGCGCCGCCCCTGCAGCTCGCGCGTCGCCCCTGCAGCCCGTGCGCCGCCCTTGCAGCCCAGCGCACCCCGCTGCCCAGCGCGCCAGCGCGCCCTGCTGCCCAGCGCGCCAGCGTGCCCCGCTGCCCAGCTCGCCAGCGCGCCCCGCTGCCCAGCGCGCCAGCGCGCCCCGCTGCCCAGCGCGCCAGCGCGCCCCGCTGCCCAGCGCGCCAACGCGCCCCGCTGCCTAGCGCGCCAGCGCGCCCCGCTACCCAGTGCGCCAGCGCGCCCCGCTGCCCTGCGCGCCAGCGCGCCCTGCTAAACCCAAAAAAAAAAAAAAAAAAAAAAGGAGCCCTAGGTGCCGCCCCTGCCTGCCCGCGCGCCGCCCTCTGCAGCCCGCGCGCCGCCCTGCTGCAGCGCGCTGCGCTACTCTGGCCGCGCGCCGCTCTTCCTTGACCGTGCGCCGCCCCGACCTTCCCTAGTGCCTGCTCGCCGCCCTGCCTTCCCTCCGTGCTGCCCTACTGGTCGCGCGCCTCCTTGCTTGCCCGCTATGACTTCTCTTCGTAGTAGCGGTGGGAGTGGTGGCGGCGGTGGTGACAGCAATGGGAGTGGTGGCGGCCGTAGTAGCAGTCGCTGTGGAGCTGTTCGGTGGGGAGTTTTTGGCGGTGGCCAGATGCAGCTCCAGCGGCGTCCGCGCGAGACCCTTACGCCCCAGCAACTTCGTGAGTGGTTCGCTAGTTGGAGTAGTGGCGGCGGCCGTAGTGACAGTCGCCGTGGAGCTGTTCAGTGGGGAGCTTTTGGCGGTGGCCAGATGCAGCTGCAGCGGCGTCCGCGCGAGACCCTTATACCCCTGCAGCTTCGTGAGTGGTACGCTCAGCGTGGGGCATCTCGGAGTACTGCTCGCTGCCCGTACGTCATTCGCACAGGTGATCGGGCTGGTCAGACTTGCGGGACACTTGGTCACACACAGTTCCGCTGCTTCGCCTGTCTAAGCGACGCCTGGCGTGCAGAGTTTGGCGACGCGGCTGAGCTCCCCCGCTGGCTGGAGCTGCTTAGGCAGAGGGTGGATATCTTTGCTCTTGAGTATGATGCTATCCTCACTGCCATGTATGCATTGACTGTTAGTGCTGAGGGTGACTGTTACCTGTGTGTGCCGCCCGACCCAGGTATAGAGGCTGCTGCTCTAGGTGCCAGTGAGTCTGCTGCTCTAGGTGCTAGTGAGTCTGCTCTCTCTGGTACTGCGCCTGCTGCGGCCTTGCACACCTTCACGCTTGACTCAGGTGCTTCCCGCTGTTTCTTTCGCGACAGTACCACAGTCACACCACTCCCTGCACCTGTTGCAGTCTCTCTGGCTGACCCCTCTGGGGGCCCAGTTCTTGCACGTTCCTCCACTGTTCTCCCGTGTCCGGCGGTTCCGTCTGGCTCACTGTCAGGTCTTCACCTCCCATCGTTCTCTACGAACTTGGTGAGCAACGCCGTCCTTCAGGATGAATGGGTTGATACCTTCACCCCTGGCGGACAGCGTGTGGCAATCTGTACGTGCACCCGGACTGGCAGTCACCTGGCCACGTTCACCCGTCGGCCTGGGTCGAGTCTGTACACACTGACTACTGAGCCTCCCCAGGTAGCTGCGACTGCGTCTGCGTCAGGTCAGCTAACGCCCCCCTGCTCGTGTCGCGCCCTGTCGCACCGGACGCTCCTTTGGCACCACCGCCTTGGTCACCCCTCCGTGCCACGCCTCCGTGGCATGCACTCCCGTCTCCTTGTCTCTGGTCTTCCCAGGTCTCTGCCTCCCCTCCCACCCTCGCCTGCCCCTCCCTGCCTTCCCTATGTCGAGGGGCGGCAGCGCGCTGCTCCTCACTCCTCCTCGTTTCCCCCGACGACTGCTTCCCTGCAGACTCTCCACATGGACGTGTGGGGCCCAGCCCGCGTCCGTGGACAGGGCCGCGAGCGCTACTTTCTGCTAATTGTTGACGACTACTCGCGTTACACCACGGTCTTCCCCTTGCGCAGCAAGGGTGAGGTCCCTGATGTTTTGATCCCCTGGATCCGCGCTGTCCGTCTCCAGCTCCGCGAGCGGTTCGACACGGACCTTCCGGTCCTGCGTCTGCACTCTGACAGAGGTGGTGAGTTTTCCTCCGACCTCTTGCGGGACTTTTGTCGTGGGGAGGGCATTCCCCAGTCGTTCACGCTTCCGGCCTCTCCGCAGCAGAATGGGGTTGCTGAGCGCCGCATTGGCTTAGTCATGGAGGTCGCTCGTACCTCCATGATCCATGCGGCTGCCCCCCACTTTCTGTGGCCGTTTGCGGTCCGGTACGCTGCGCATCAGCTCAACCTCTGGCCCCGTGTCTCCTTGCCGGAGACCTCGCCTACACTGCGTTGGACGGGGACGGTTGGCGACGCGTCGGTGTTCCGGGTCTGGGGCTCTCGTGCCTTTGTCCGCGATACATCCGCGGACAAGCTCTCCTCCCGCGCCATTCCCTGCGTCTTCCTTGGCTTTCCCCCTGACGTGCCTGGCTGGCAGTTTTACCACCCCACTTCGCGCCGTGTCCTGCCCTCTCAGGACGTCACGTTTGACGAGTCGGTTCCCATTTACCGTCTCTTCCCCTACCGCACTGCCCCTCTCCCCCCCCCGCCGCTCTTCCTCGCACCAGGTCCTCCTCCGGTAGACCCCCTCCCCCCTCAGGGTCCTGCTCCCTCAGGTGTGTCTCAGGTAGACCCTGTCGAGCCTGTCGAGGTAGATGTCGACTCTGGTGCTGCTGGGGGTGGTGCTGCTAGGGGTGCTGCGTCTGGGGGTGCTGAGCCTGAGTGTGCGGAGCCTGGGGGTGCTGAGCCTGGGGTTGCTGAGTCTGAGGGTGCGGAGCCTGGGGGTGCTGAGCCTGAGCATGCGGAGCCTGGGGGTGCTGAGCTTGGGGGTGCTGAGCCTGAGCGTGCGGAGCCTGGGGGTGCTGAGCTTGGGGGTGCTGAGCCTGAGCGTGCTGCGCCTGGAGGTACTTTGTCTGCTGGAGGTTCTCCGAGTGTCACGTCACGGCGGGACACTCTCTCTCCATCGCAGCTGCGAGAGTGGTTTGCTCGGTGCTGGAGCCTTCGTAGTGACGCTGCTAGAGCTGGAGGCGCTGGAGCTGGAGGTACCGGAGGTGCTGGAGCTGCTGGTCCTGGAGGTGCTGGAGGTACTGGAGGTTCTCCGGTTGCCTCGTCCCGGCGGGAGCCTCTCTCTCCACCGCATCTGCGAGAGTGGTTTGCTCGGCGTTGGAGTCTTCAGAGTGGCGCTGCTGGAGCTGGGGGGGCTTCCGCTGGAGGCCCTGGAGCTAGGGGGGCTTCCGCTTGAGGCCCTGGAGCTGTAGGCCCTGGAGCTGCTGGTCCTGGAGGTGCTGGAGGTGCTGGAGCCGCTGGTCGCGGAGGTGCTTGTACTAGAGGTACTGGAGTTGCTGGAGCTGGTGGTGCTGCAGGGTTGGAGCTGCTGGAGCTGGAGCTGCTGGAGGCACTGGAGCTGGAGCTGCTGGAGGTGCTGGAGCCGCTGTTCCCGGAGGTGCTCGTACTGGAGGTACTGGAGCTGCTGGAGTTGGAGGTGCTGCAGGCGTTGGAGCTGGAGGAGCTGGAGCTGCAGCTGCTGGAGGTACTGGAGCTACTCGTCCCGGAGGTGCTCGTACTGGAGGTACTGGAGCTGCTGGAGCTGGAGGTGCTGCAGGCGTTGGAGCTGGAGGAGCTGGAGCTGGAGCTGCTGGAGGTACTGGAGCTGCTGGAGCTGGAGGTGCTGCAGGCGTTGGAGCCGGAGGCACTGGAGCTGGAGCTGGTGGTGCTGCTGGAGTTGGAGCTGGAGACCCTGGAGCTGGAGGTGCTGGCCCTGGGGGTGCTGGTGCTGTCGGTGCTGGTTCTGGAGGCACTGTGCGGCTGCGACCGTACTTCGTTCCACTGCTTCAGCAGGTTCTTGGTCTCCCGCCTTCTACTGGCCTTACTCCTCCCTTACTGTGTCCACCGCCTGACCAGTCGCAGCCGCAGTTGAGGGCGTCAGAGAACGGGTGGGGCGGCGGGTTTCAGGTCGTGGGGCAGTTGCTAACGGGTGGGGCAGCGGGTGGGGCAGGTAACGGGTGAGGCAGCTCGTCGGGAGGCGGGTTTCATGTGGGGCGGCTGCTAATGGGTGGGGCGGCGGGTTTGACAGCGGGTGGGGCAGGTAACGGGTGTGGCAGCTCGTAGGGAGGCGGGTTTCAGTGCGTGGGGCGGCGGGTTTCAGGTGGGGCAGCGGTTTCAGGTCGTGGGGTGGCGGGTTTCAGGCGGGGCGGCGGTTTCAGATCGTGGGGCAGCGGGTTTCAGGTGTGAGGCGGCGGTTTCAGGTGTGGGGCTGCGGGTTTCAGGTGTGAGGCGGCGGTTTCACGTCATGGGGCGGTGGGTTTCAGGTGTGGGGCGGCGATTTCAGGTCGTGGGGCGGCGGGTTTCAGGTGTGAGGCGGCGGTTTCAGGTGTGGGGCGGCGGGTTTCAGGTGTGGGCCAGCGGGTTCAGGTGTGAGGCGGCGGTTTCAGGTCGTGGGGCGGTGGGTTTCAGGTGTGGGGCGGCGGTTTCAGGTGTGGGACGGCGGGTTTCAGGTGTGGGACGGCGGGTTCAGGTGTGAGGCGGCGGTTTCAGGTCGTGGGGCTGCGGTTTCAGGTGTGGGGCGGTGGGTTTCAGGTGTGGGGCGGCTGGTTTCAGGTGGGGCGGCGGTTAAGGCAGCGGGCAACGGGTGTGGGAGGGCACGGCTAACGGGCTGCACGTGCGCGCGGCTGTTGCTGCGCGTGCGTGCGGTCGCGGCGTACGTGCGCGTGGCTGCACGTGCAGCTGCGCGCGTGCGTCTGCTGTGTGCTAGCAGGCTGGCGGGCAACGCACGGGGCAAAACGGGTGGGGCGCGGGGCAAAATCAGGTGACGCGCGGGGCAAAACGGGTGGGGCGCGGGGCATAAATGGTTGACGTGCGGGCTAGTGGGGTGACGGGGCGCTTCGGGCGTTGGGGCGCTACGGGGCGCTACGGGGGGCGCTTCGGGTCGCTATGGGGAGCTATTGGGCGCCTCGGGCGTTGGGGCGCTACGGGCTAGGTCGGGTTACGGGGAGGTGGGCCCTTCGGGATCTACGGGCGCTACGGGGAGGTGGGCCCTTCGGGGAGGTGGGCGCTACGGGCTAGTTCTATACCATGTCAAGTTACTGAACGGGTAATGAATTGGGTAAGGAAAAACAAGGAACAAGCAAGATATAGCAAACCCTATAAATAGTTCTACCACAAGTGCAACAAAATGTAGAACACCTAGACCAACCTAAAGAAACTAAATAAATATAGTTTGACACATCGCCCTTGCTCCCCAAGGGAAACACCGTGGTGTAGCGCGTGTAGTCGTCAACGACCAGCAGGAAGTAATGCTCCCGACCCAGCCCAGGGACGAGGGCGGGGCCCCACATGTCCATGTGTAGGGTCTGCAGAGGACAAGTGGTCGGAGGAAACGAGGACTGAGGAGCGGCGCGCTGCCGCCCCTCGACGCAAGGAGTGCACGGCGAAGCAAGCGACGGCGGGAGCGGGGGCAGGGACCTCGGAAGGCCAGAGACAAGAAGACGGGAGTGCATGCGACGCAGACGCTGCAGGGAGGGGTGACCAAGACGGTGGTGCCAGAGGAGAGACGGGTGCGTGAGTAACCGACACGAGCAAGACGCAGCTACCTGACCGGACGCGGCTACCTGTGTTGACTCAGTGTGCAGTGTGTACAAGCCAGACCCAGGCCTCCGGATGAACGTGGCGAGGTGGTCGCCAGTCACCGAGTCCGTACAGATCGCCACAAGCTCGCCCCGAGGAGTAGTGGTAGTGACCAACTCATCCAGCCTCCCCACTGCCTGCTCCTTCTCCTTGCACTGAGCAGACCGGAGGTCTTACAGAGCGTCGTGAGCCTGCGTCTCGTCCTGCGTCGCCTGTTCGCGCTGTTCGCACTGGTCGTCGTGTTCCGCGTCAGCGTCCTCCTCCTGTCCCCGGCACGCACCAGATGGCACTTCGTCCTTCCTCTATTCCACATCGTGTCCCTCTGCCGTCTCCTCCTGCGTCCTCTCTTCCTGACGTTCCTGACCCGCGTCAGACCTTGCTCGTGCTGCCAGTCCTACTGTCACACGTCTTCTAGCCACTGTTGTCACTGACCCTTCGTTTGAGTCCACTGCTGCGTCTGCCCTCGTTGCTGAGCTGGTTGACTTTGCTGCCGCCTGTCGCCTCGACTACGCCGCTAGTCTTGTTGCTGAGTCTGAGTCTGTCTGTCCTCCGTCCGTCGGGGGTGAGTGTGCTCTTGGCACGGACGTTCTTGAGGACAGACAGGAGGAGTTTGAGTGCTTTGCCGCTGCTTTACCTCATCTCATGTCCATGCTGATTGCCCCTGAGGGTTTCCCCACCTGGGGCGAACATCGTCAGTGGCATGTGGATTTTCAGGGTGAAGCGGCCGCCGGGTTCTCCGCCTGTCTTCAAGGCGCGTTACGTTGCTTGAGGCTTCAGTCAGCAGCAGGGAGTTGACTTCTTCCAGACCTTCTCCCATACCCCGAAGATGATCACTCTTCGGGTGCTGCTGCACGTCGCCGCTCAGCGTGACTACGAGCTTCACTCTCTTGACTTCAGCACAGCCTTCCTACAGGGCAGCCTGCACGAGGAGATCTGGCTGCGCCGCCCACCTGGCTTCACTGGGTCGTTTCCTGCAGGTACCCAGTGGAGCCTCCGGTGGCCAGTCTACGGTCTCTGCCAGGTGCCTCGCGAGTGGCACGACACACTGAGGACGACGCTTGCGGCTCTTGGGTTTGCTCCTTTGACTGCTGACCCGTCGCTGTTTATACGCACCGACACTTCTCTGCCGCCGTTCCACATCCTCGTGTACGTCGACGACTTGGTCTTTGCCACTGCTGACAATGCGGGACTAGCCTTTGTGAAGTCGGAGCTGCAGAAGAGACACACGTGCATAGACCTGGGTGAGCTGCGCAGCTATCTTGGCTTGCATATCACCCGGGACAGAGCACAGCGCACCATTACCTTGACTCAGTCACACATGGTGCAGCAGGTCCTTCAGCGCTTCCGCTTCACATGCTCCTCGCCACAGTCCACTCCTCTGCCTACCGGTCACTCGCTCTCAGCTCTGCCTTCGGATGAGTCCGTAGAGCCGAGTGGCCCATATCCAGAGCTTGTGGGCTGCCTCATGTACCTGATGACCTGCACTCGACCTGACCTTGCTTACCCTCTTAGCAACCTGGCACGCTACGTTGCGCCCGGGAGACACCAACCAGAGCACTGGGAGGCCGCTGAGAGGGTGATGCGCTACTTGTGCAGTACGTCGGGCATGGGGCTCGTGCTTGGAGGCCGGGCTCGAGTTGTCCTCACTGGCCACGCAGACACTTCTTGGGTTGACGACTTGGCTACGCAGCGGTCATCACAGGGTTACACTTTCAGCCTTGGCTCCGGCTCTGTTTCGTGGCGGTCTACCCGCTCGTCTTCTGTTCTCAGTTCCAGTTGTGAGGCTGAGATCTACGCAGGGGCCATGGCTGCACAGGAGTTACGCTGGCTCACCTACCTGCTGACCGACTTGGGAGAGCCGCCTCGTTCTCCTCCAGCTCTGTACGTCGACAACAAGGCCATGATTGCCTTGTGTCAGGAGCACAGACTGGAGCACAGAACGAAGCACATCGCTCTGCGCTACTTCCTTGCTCGAGAGTTGCAGCAGCGTGGTCAGCTTCGTCTTGCTTACGTGGCCTCTCGGGCCAACACTGCTGATATCTTCACCAAGGCACTTCAGCCTTGTGATCATCAGCGTTTCTGTACTGTTCTAGGCCTTGTGCCTACTTGGTCTCACTTGCTCACTTCTTGACTTTGCTTGTACTGTGATCTATATACATATACCTGCATGCTTACACTTGCTAGGTTGTGATCACTGTACTGCTTGTTCTCCTTTATATAACTCTGCATGTGAACTGGCCTTGTGGCCATTTGCTTGTGCTCAGAATGCGTGGTGACTTCGTGATCCACCCTGAGCTTGCTTTGCTTTTCTTGACCGGTCTTGTGACCTCTTGTTCTCCCCCACTTTGCCTATGGGGGTGTGTCAAACTTATATGCTGCTTATTGTGTAGGCTATAGTGGGGTAGCCCATATGGGGTACAACCCAATTAGGGTTTACTACTTGTACCCATCTAGCTGCTAGTTCATCCATTCTCGCTTACTGATTCTGACAGGTCAGCCCCTGCGCGAAGCTCTCCAGCTCGTGGTGTGTCTCCATTATCGCACAGAATGTTGGGAGCTCCCTCTCTGCGGCCTTGGGATCGAATCCCGGCAGCTTGTTGCGGAGAAGCTTGTTGCATCCCTGAAACCACTCACAGCACTTCCGCCCCCGTTGAGCCTGCCACTTCCCCGCCCGGAACAGCTTCGTTGGACCCAGCTTCCCCAGGTCATCCAGACGCTCGTTGAGGTTGTCCACGCAATCGCGGGCGAACCTGCGGCACAACTTCACGCACTCGGCGTAGGTGCTTCCATACTTGTACCCCGGGAGCTGCCTCTCGTGCATGTTGTAGAGGTGGTTGATAGGGCGTCCCTCCCCGTCCACGCCTCGCACCCGGACCTTCTTGCCTCCGCCTTGCCCGTGCAGCTGCAGAAAGCCGACCAGCCAGCACTTGCTCTCGCCACCGAACTGCTTGTCGCTCTCCAAGTACCGCTCCGTCAGATCCGCCGTGGTGGACTCAATGGTTTTGGGAAGCTCCGTCACATCCAGCTGTCACGGTACAGCCATTGAGCACATATTAGACATTTTCCAACAGGTAAACAAACCATGCACAAACAGAGGCCAACTCGCGAAAATAAAAAAAAGCTTACATCACGCTTCTGGAAACAACGGTTAAGGTCGTTCATGTCGGCGAGGATGTCGGCAAGGAAGAACAGGTAGAATTGGAACTTGTAGCTCGTCACAATCTCGTACGCCTTGTGGTTGTCCTCCCAGAGCAGAACGATGCACGCGCCCAGGACATTGCACAGCCGACGCACCGCATCCCCTTGTGACAGCCACCAAACCGTGAGGATCCCTTGGACTTCAAGGTTCGTGTTGTAGATCACTCGCTTCAGGTACTTGAAGCTTTGACTCCAGACGCACGACTTCCCGAGCTCTGCCGCCACGGTGCGCACCACCTTGTCCACCATGTCCAGGTCCGGATTTGACGTCGCAGCGTCCTTCACAGCCAGAGCCTCCCTGTAGGACGCAGGGGACATAACACAACATGTGTGATTAAAACAAGTGACATGTCCTGCACATCTTAACGACTAGCAAACTCACTGGTGGACGATGCAGTGACAGGAAAAGAGATGCGGGACGTGTTCCCGAATCCGCGCCACCAAACCGTTATCCTTCCCCAACATGACCGACGTGTCAAACATTATATATGTTATAGTTGTGTAGGCTACTGTGGGTTAGCCTTTAGGGGGTACACTACTCTAGGGTTTGGTACTTGTACTCCCATTCCTTTCTAGTTCATCATTCTTGTTCGTTCTTAGATTCTAACATGGTATCAGAGCCTAGGTCGTAACCTAGGACCGACTGATAGGGCCCACCGTTTCCGTTAGTCGCGCCCGAGCGCGCCTCGCTTAGTCGCGCCCTCGAGCGCCCTCCTCTCATCTGCACTGTCGCGCGCCCTAGCGTGCCCCTTGCGAACCGGCCCCGCCCAGCCCGCACGCCCTAGCGTGCCCCACGCGATCGGCCCCGCCCTCCTCGCACGCCCTCGCGTGCGACCCGCGCAGCCCCACGCGCGTCACCTGCCCCGCGCGCGCCCTTGCGTGCCTCGTGCGGCCCCGCGCGCTCGCTGCCCCGCGCGCCCTTGCGCGCTTCTCACGATCCGGCCCCGCCCTTCCTCGCGCGCCCTTGCGTGCCCCGTGCGACCGGACCTGCCCCACCCGCGCGCCCTTGCGTGCCCCTCGCGTACCGGCCCCGCCCCGCTAGCCCTGCCCTTGCAGCCCCGCTAGCGCCCTGTCCCACCCGAGCCGCGCCGCCCAGCCGAGCCGCGCCGCCCCACCGAGCCGCGCCGCCCTGCCCGAGCCGCGCCGCCCTACCGAGTCGCGCCGCCCTACCGAGCCGCGCTGCTGCTGCTGTCACTGCTACTGACGCTACTGCTGTACTGCTGCTACTGCTGCTACTGCTCCTACTGCAACTATGGCTAGCCCTGCTGTTCTCGCTTTCGATGCTGAGGGCCGCCCGCTGAAGTTTGACACCTGGCTCGATGACCTGCACCTGTTCCTCCAGCTCACTGCCAAGGAGGATATTTCGCTGTACGATCACGCGCTAGGACTCGCTGCTGCCCCTGCTGCTACTGCTGACAGTACTGCCCGCTCACAGTGGCAGACTCGTGACGCCCACACTCGCTTCGCTATTCGCAACTCCCTGCCGATAGATGAGCGCGAGCACTTTGGCCAGCACAAAACTGCGCAGGCACTGTACACTGCTGTAGTTGCACGCTACTCCTCACCTGCCTCTGCTACGCTAGGCCGTCTCTCGCTCCCCTACCTGTTCCCCGACCTGTCTGCCTTCTCCACAGTCGCTGACCTCATCACGCACCTCCGCACTAGTGAGGCCCGCTTCCGTGCCGCTATGCCCGCTGAGTTTCTTGCCAAGAACCCCCCCCGCTGTGGCTCACTCTCTACCACCTGGTCACCCGTCTCCCTGACTCTCTCCGTGCGGTCAGGGACCACTTCCTCGCTCGCTGCCCCACTGAGCTCACCGTTGATCTGCTCGAGAAGGAACTGCTTGCAGCTGAGACTAGCATAGTCGATGTAGGTGCCTCTCGTGGCGACCCCCGCACCCCTTTCTTCGAGGGGTGTTCCCCTTCCCCCCTTCTCCCCTCTGTCGCCTCTGCTGCTGCTGTCGACCTCCTTGGTACTGAGCAGGTCGGGACTGCGTCCACTCCGAGTTGGCGCCGCAGCGGCAAGGGCAAAGGGGGCAAGGGAGGCGGTGGTGACGGCGGGGGAGGCGGTGGTGGGGGCGGTGGCGGCGGTGGGGGTAGTGGCGGGGCTGGAGGGGCTAGTGGCAGCAGTGGGGGTGGTGGCGGCAGCAGCGGAGGAGGTGGCCGGGGTGGGGGCGGTGGTGGTGGCGGCAGTGGACCCAGTGGCGGCAGGGGCGGTGGTGGTCGAGGTGGTGGCGGCGGCGGTGGTGGCCAGCGCCAGCAGCAGATTCCGTCGTCCCACGAGCTTCGTGAGTGGTACTCTCAGCATGGGGGGGGGGGTGGCCTTAGCTGCACGTACGTCATCCGCACAGGTGACCGCACTGGTCAGACGTGTGGGAGGGCGCACACCACGCAGCGCTGCTTCTCCCGCCTTGACGACGCCTGGCGCACTCAGTTTCCTGGTGCCACTGAGCTGCCCCGCTGGGCTGATCTGCTGAGGAAGAAAATTGATGTCTATGCTCTTGACTTTGATGCTATTCTTGGTGCCATGTATGTGTTGTCTGCTAGTGGAGAGAGTGACCAGTACCTACGAGTTCCGCCCGATCCGGGCATTCGGACCAGTGAGGCTGCCGCTCTAGGTGCTAGTGCGTCTGTTGCCCCAGGTGCTGGTGAGGCTGCCGCTCCAGGTGCTTGCGTGTCTGCTGCCCCAGGTGCTGGTGAGGCTGCTGCTCTAGGTGCTCGTGAGTCTGCGCCCTCTGGTACTGAGTCTACTGAGGCACTGCACACCTTCACACTGGACTCAGGTGCTTCTCGCTGTTTCTTTCGTGACCGCACTGCCCTTGAGCAGCTTGCTCGGCCGGTTGCTGTCTCCCTCGCTGACCCCTCTGGGGGTCCGGTCATTGCGACCTCCTCCACTGTCCTCCCTTGTCCTGCGGTTCCGTCGGGCACACTGTCAGGTCTCTACCTCCCCTCGTTCTCTACGAACCTGGTGGCAGGTAGAGCACTTCAGGAGGGGGGTGTCCACCAGTTCACCCCTGCCTACGAGCGCGTGACACACTGCACGTGTGCTCGGACGGGTCGCCACCTGGCTACCTTCACTCGGCAGCCGAGGTCGGACCTGTACACACTGACCACTGAGTCCCCTCAGGTAGCTGCGTCTGCGTCTGCGTCAGGTCAGCTATCGGCCCCCTGCTCGTGTCGCTCCCTGGCGCACGAGACTGTCCTCTGGCACCACCGCCTTGGTCACCCGTCAGTGCAGCGCCTTCGTGGCATGCACTCCCGGTACCTTGTCTCTGGTCTTCCCAGGGTTCTCCCTCCCCTCCCACCCTCGCCTGCTCCTCCTTGTCTTCCCTGTGTCGAGGGGCAGCAGCGCGCCGCTCCTCACTCCTCCTCGTTTCCCCCGACGACTGCTCCCCTACAGATGCTCCACATGGACGTGTTGGGCCCAGCCCGCGTTCGTGGACAGGGTCACGAGATGTACTTCTTGATAGTTGTTGACGACTACTCGCGCTACACCACGGTCTTCCCCTTGCGCACCAAGGGTGAAGTCCCTGATGTTCTGATCCCTTGGATCCGCGCTGCCCGTCTCCAGCTCAGCGAGAGGTTCCACTCGAACTTTCCTGTCCTGCGTCTGCACTCTGACAGAGGTGGGGAGTTTTCCTCCGACCTCTTGAGGGCCTTCTGTCAGGGGGAGGGCATTGAGCAGTCGTTCACGCTTCCGGCCTCTCCACAGCAGAATGGGGTTGCTGAGCGCCGCATTGGCTTGGTCATGGAGGTCGCTCGTACCTCCTTGATCCATGCGGCTGCCCCCCACTTTCTGTGGCCGTTTGCGGTCCGATACGCTGCGCATCAGCTCAACCTCTGGCCCTGTGTCTCCGTTCCGGAGACTTCGCCGACACTGTGTTGGACGGGAGAGGTTGGCGATGCGTCGCGTTTCCGGGTCTGGGGATCTCGAGCTTTTGTTCGCGATACGTCCGCGGACAAGCTCTCCTCCCGCGCTGTTCCTTGTGTCTTCCTTGGCTTTGTCCCGGACGCGTCTGGTTGGCAGTTTTACCACGCCACCTCGCGCCGTGTCCTGCCCTCTTAGGACGTCACTTTCGACGAGTCGGTCCCCTACTACCGCCTCTTCCCCTACCGCATTGCCCCGCTCCCCCCCCCGCCTCTCTTCCTCGCACCAGGTGCTGCTGTGGTAGACCCCCTCCCCCCTCAGGGTGCCGCTCCCTTAGGTGTGTCCCAGGTCGTTGAGCCTGTCGAGGTAGCTGTCGACTCTCGTCCTGCTAGGGGTGCTGAGCCTGAGCGTGCGAAGCCTGGGGGTGCGGAGCCTGGGGGTGCTGAGTCTGGGGGTGCGGAGCCTGGGGGTGCGGAGCCTGCGGGTGCGGAGCCTGCGGGTACGGAGTCTGGGGGTGCTGAGTCTGGGGGTGCTGAGCCTGAGAGTGCTACGTCTGAGGGTACTGAGCCAGAGGGTGCTGCGACAGACCGTGCTGCGCCTGGAGGCGCTCCCTCCTCACAGCAGCTGCGGGAGTGGTACTCGCAGTACTGCAGCCTCAGGAGGGGCGCTTCTGGAGCTAGGGGTGCTGCTGGAGCTGGTGCTCGTGGTTCCCCTCCTAGGCGGGAGCCGCCCTCTCCTCAGCGGCTCCGAGAGTGGTACGCTCGGCGCTGCAGTCTCCGGAGTGGCGCTACTGGTGTCACGGACCCTGGAGCTGGAGCTGGTGCTGGTGCTGGTGCTGCTGGCGCAGGAGCTGCTAGTGGTGCTGCTGGAGCTGCTGGAGACGCTGCTGGTGCTGGAGGTGCTGCTGGTGCTAGCGCTGCTGGAGCTGCTGGAGACGCTGCTGGTGCTGGAGGTGCTGCTGGTGCTGGAGCTACTGGAGGTGCTGCTGGCGCAGGAGCTGCTGGAGGTGCTACTGGAGGTGCTGCTGGTGCTGGAGCTGGAGCTGGTGCTGGTGCTGGTGCTGCTGGCGCAGGAGCTGCTGGTGGTGCTACTGGAGGTGCTGCTGGAGCTGGAGCTGCTGGAGACGCTACTGGTGCTGGAGGCGCTGCTGGTGCTGGAGTTGCTACTGGTGCTGGAGCTACTGGAGGTACTGCTGGTGCTGGAGCTGCTGGAGCCGCTGCGGGGGTTGGAGTTGGAGGTACTGGAGCTGCTGGGGTTGCTGGTGGTGCTGCGGGAGTTGGTGCTGGAGACCCGGGGGCTGAGGGTGCTGGTACTGTCTCTGCTGGTTCAGGAGGTGCTGAGCGGCCGCGGCCGTACTACGTTCCACTCCTTCAGCAGTTTCTTGGCCTCCCGCCCTCCACTGGTCCTTCTCCTCCCCTACTGAGTCCACCACCTGTCCAGTCGCAGTCACA